CCACCCCTTGCATGGGAAGCTCTCTGTGGATGTCTCTGCCTTAAACCTTCCAGGGCCTTTTCTTGCAATCTATAAGATGGGTGAGAAGTAGCTGAGGACAAGTAACCCCTCAAGACTCACCTTGCAGCCTAGAGTAGTTAAGATCTTGGGCCCTGGAGACTAATAGACCTGGGTTCAAGTTCCGGTCTATCCTCACTCTGTGGCCACAGGCCAGTGATGTACCTTCCTGAGCCGCAGTTTTCTCACCAGCAGATTGGGCATGACCTGCTTGAGTTATTCATGAGGCCAAACACACTAGAATACCTAAAAAGCCTGACACCTAGTAGGTGCTTAGTAAAATATTGGCAGGGGCCATGAGTCAGAAGTATTTACTGGGCATCTAATATGAGGATGTGCGAGGCATTGAGGATCCAGAAGTTAAATGACACTTTCATTCATAAAGTCTTCCAACAATGAGTGTTGAATGTCCTGTGCTGGGCACTGGGTACATAGCTGTTAACCAAATGGAGACAGTCTAGTCTGTGAAAAAGGCTGTTATTCAAACCGCTGCAAATGTGGAGGTGAAATGACCATTGGACCAGAAACTGCAGAGCCCTGTGAGAGCACAGAGCTGGGATCTGAAACAGGAACAGTCAGGGTAGGCTTTGTGGGGGAAGTGATGTTTGCAGGCCGACTGTACGGTGGGTTGGAGTTAACCAGGTGAAGAATCCTGGAGGTCAGTGTTCCACGCTCAGGGAAAAGCCGGTGCAAAGGCCCGAGGCAGAGTGTGCGTGGCACAGTCCAGGAAGTAGCAGCAAGAAAGAGGTGGGAGAGGGCCAGCAAGGCCAGTGGGCCAGGCCACGCAGGAGCCACTGGCCCCTGCAGTGAGACACCCCTGGGCACCGGCATGGCATTATCTGATGATCCTTTTGAAAAGTTCCCTGTGGCTGCTGGGTGGAGAGAGCAAACCAGGAGTGGCAGTGGGGGCTGAGGCTGTGGCGGGTGACAGGGGCCTGGATTTGAGAGGTGTTGGTGGCCTGGAAAGGTGGTGAGGGAGGGGTGCAGAGCAGGGTTCTGGGGTCTGCCTGCCTGGGTTCAAGTCCGGACTCCTTCACTCGGGCAGGAGGCGCTGCTCTGGGCCTCTTTTCTTGCTGGCAAGACGGTGGCGGGCGGGAGTACGTTATTCTTATTTCACGTGAAGACACGGAGACCCCAGAGCCATTCGGGCTGGAGCAGAAACCCCGGCCCCAGCGACCACATGCTTAAGCACTCCCGTGTGTCACCTGAGTTAGCAAGTTTTTAGGACCCAGCCAGGCCCCAGTAGGCGAGCACTGCTGTGGGTTGGGAGCGCGGACGAGGGGCAGGAAGCAGGCCTCACGGAGGCAGGAGACGCCTGTAGCAGTCGTTAAGGCTGGCAACCGTCCCATCCGGCTGGTGCCTGAAATGTCCCGGTTGTTGGATACCCCAAAGTCACACGAGGAGGCTTAAAGGGAGGTGGCGGGCGGCCCCAGGGTGAAGGGTCGGCCTCCGCTGATCCTCGCCCTCCTCCCCCTCCCACTGCAGCCTTCGTGACCCTGCTGAACGGGGAGCAGGCCGAGGCTGCCATCAGCGCCTTCCACCAGAGCCGCCTGCGGGAGCGGGAGCTGTCGGTGCAGCTGCAGCCCACGGACGCCCTGCTGTGCGTGGCCAACCTGCCCCCCAGCTTCACCCAGCAGCAGTTCGAGGAGCTGGTGCGGCCCTTCGGCAGCCTGGAGCGCTGCTTTCTGGTCTACAGCGAGCGCACCGGCCACTCCAAGGGCTACGGCTTCGCCGAGTACATGAAGAAGGACTCGGCCGCCCGTGCCAAGTCGGACCTGCTGGGCAAGCCGCTGGGCCCGCGCACCCTCTACGTGCACTGGACAGACGCGGGGCAGCTGACACCCGTCCTGCTCCACTCCCGCTGCCTCTGTGTTGACCACCTGCCCCCCGGCTTCAGCGACGTGGACGCCCTGCGTCGGGCGCTGTCGGCGGTCCACACGCCCACCTTCTGCCAGGTGAGCGCACCTCAGAGGGGCCCTTTGAAGTCACCTGCCTTTCCTAATCTCCCGGGTCCCTTTTAGTAAGACAGCGGCAGTGCCACTTTGAATGGGGTTCTTGTTTGAAAAGCCACGTGGTATAGGGGGTGACAGCCCAGCTAGGAGCCAGATGGCTGGGGTTCAAATCCCTGCGAACCCTTTAGTGACTTGCTTAATCTCGGTGGCCTCGGTCCTCCGTATAACACGCAGGTGAGACCACCTTGGTGAAAGCTCAGTGCAAGGCTCGCTAGCCTCTCGCTCTCGTGTTGATCAGGTTTGTCGAGTGCCTTCTGGCTCCCAGGCCTGGCACGAAGGAGGCGGCTCAAGAGAAGCCCACGGTCCATGTAAGCCTTGAGGTCAGGAAGTTGGGTTTGGTTGGATTCCAGCCGTGCTCTGTGGCTCTGGGCAGTCACTCACTCACTCTGAGTCTTGGTTTCCCTCCTCCGTAAGAAAGGAGTCGATACTCACACATCACGTTGGCCAAATGGTCTCTGGTTCATTCGAGTCACATTTGTCATGCGCTTCTTTGTGTGCGGCACGAGCCCCGGGACAGGCACAGTGTGGGGAGAACGGGCCAGGCCCAGTTCTTAGCCGGCAGATAGTCTCGCCCGCAGACCCCCAGCAGAGACATTCCTTCAGCACCCACCGAGCACATTCCTTGGAATCGCCTCATCCTAATACAGCCCAGAGAAGCAGGTGATATCCCCATTTTCAGGGGGCGCAAAGAATTCAAGCGCCCTGCCGAGGGCTGGACAGCCAGGGCATGGCAGGGCCGGGATCGGAGTGCCGTGGCCTGGCTCCAGAGCCCCAGGCCGGCGTGGTGGAGGCTGGTATATGGCTCTGACCCCGGTTCTGTGGCCCGGGTGCGTCCTGTTTCCCTTGTGTAAAGGGAGTGTTGGGCCTGGGGACCCCGACATCTTAGGAACCCCTCTCCTGCTCCCTTTGCATTTGGTCATGCTGCTGCTTTCCGTTGGGGATCTACTGTGTGCTTGTCCCTGGGTAGGCCTCCTGCCGTGTGCTAGGCTCTCTGGTGGGGCTCAGGACAGATGACTTAGCTTGACAGCGACATCCTCTCTTGGAGGTAGGACAGCAGGGCCACGACCACCACCAGGTTCTCACTCTGAGCCTCAGGTTCCCCATCCGGAAATGGGGCTGACAGTGTTTTGTGATTGGGTTGTTGTGACTGGCTGTTTGTTCCTTCTTCCACTTACAGTAGGTGTCCTGGTTGAATGGAGGACAGGCCCAGGTGTCAGGCACGTTGCAGTTGGAGCCTTAATCTCCCTAGGTGGGAGCCACGAAGCCTTGGTTACCCTCTGACCCCTCTCTCTATTCATCTGTGAGACAGGGCATGTCGTGAGAAGGTGTGCATCTGGGTCTTGGTCAGAGGTGAAGGTGGAGTGCTCAGTCGAGGTGGGCTGATGGCTGGAGCCACCCTGTGCGGGCACTGAGCAGGTGCACACCTAGGGCACGACCTTTCTCTGTCACCGTGGAGCAGCTTCTTGAATCCCCACAACCACCCTTTGAGGTGGGTTCGTTTGCTGGCCCCACCTTGCAGATGAAGAAAACAAGGCCCAGGGATGGGCATGTGCAGTGATATGCCTGCCAGTAAGGTGGGCTGGGAGTCAAGGTCAGTCAGCTGACCCCGGGGGGTGCGGGGAGTCCACATTCTTCAACGTTTTTTATTTATTTTTGGGACAGAGAGAGAGACAGAGCATGAACGGGGGAGGGGCAGAGAGAGAGGGAGACACAGAATCGGAAACAGGCTCCAGGCTCTGAGCCATCAGCCCAGAGCCCAATGTGGGGCTCGAACTCACGGACCACGAGATCGTGACCTGGCTGAAGTCGGACGCTTAACCGACTGCGCCACCCAGGCGCCCCGGGAGTCCACATTCTTAAGGTGGTCACCCTCACCTCCCAGGAAGGCTGGATGCTGAGCTGGGAGTTTGCTGTCCTGCTGGGGAGTGTCATTTTCAACATAACCGAGATGTTGAAAGGAAATCCCATAGCTCACAGGCCAATTTACATCACATCTGATATGCTGATGCCATAGACATGAATAGAGCACGTATCGTAAGACCTTGGGTGTTGTAAGAAGCCTTTCTCGTTTTATTTTTTTTTTGTGAATGGGCAGTCCAGTCTTGTTTTGAAACTCAGCACGTCCAGAAAGGTCACTGGCAAAGGCTCCCTCCGGCCCCACAGCGCCTTTGCCTGCAGCCCCTGCTCAAACCAGTTTGTTGTGTCTCCTTCCAGGGTGATTTTATCACGCATTTCAAGCAGATGTTCATATGCCCTTGCGTTCCCCTTTCCCTGACCCAGATACTGCCATGGCTGCTTTGGTTTGGTTCTTACACGCTTTCTTGGACACATTTTCGTGTTTAGGCATGAGAGCTTTCTCATTCCTGTTGAGGCTGCGATATTTTCCATTTCGTGGGTTCTGCCGTCCTCTGTGGATGGACGTTGTCTTGGTTCCAAACCACACTGTGCATCACTGGGGACCAGGAGGAGCATTGTTGGCTCTTTTTTTTAATGTTTACTTATTTTTGAGAGAGAGAGAGCATGAGCAGCAGAGGGGCAGAGAGAGAGAGGGAGACACAGAATCCAGAGCAGGCCCCAGGCTCTGAGCTGTCAGCACACAGCCCGACACGGGGCTCGAACCCACAAACCGGGAGATCATGACCTGAGCCGAAATCGGACACTTAACCGACTGAGCCATCCAGGGACCCCAGCACCATTGGTTCTTAAATATCTTTTTTTTTTTTAATTATTATTTTTTTTATGTTTATTCATTTTTGAGAGAGAGAGACAGAGCATGAGCGGGAGAGGGGTTGAAAGAGAGAGGGAGACACAGAATCTGAAGCAAGCTCCAGGCTCCCAGCTGTCAGCACAGAGCCCGACGTGGGGCTCAAACTCATGAACCGTGAGATCATAACCTAAGCTGAAACCAAGAGTAGGACGCTTAACTGACTGAGCCCCCCAGGCGCCCTGAGCATCATTGGTTCTTGAGACCGCCATAGCCACAGTGAGGCGGGTAGTCTCCTTAAGGCCATCAGCCTGGCCTCATCTGATGCCGGCTCCAGCTCTGTGGCCTGAGCAAAAGGACTGCCCTTCTCTGAGCCTCAGTTTCCTCTCCTGCTAAGTGGGCATGCTGACGGTGCCTGCCTCTGCGATGTGGTGAAACAGCTCCTGCAGCACCCAGCCCATGGGCGTGCAAGGTCCCACTGGGTGTCCTTCCAGTATCTGCTTGCTCTGGGACACCACCAGCCCACGATTCCGGCACCCACAATGCCCTGAAAACCCAGAGGTTTGCTCCCTGAGTTGGTGACAAGCTCTGACCTGACCTGACAAGGGGCCATCTGTGGCCTTTATCTTTGTGCCTTGCTGCAGAGTTATCTGTGTGTCTGATTCATGGGAGCCTCAACCCCACTGGGGGAGCGGACACATGATACACAGCGCGGGCCGCATCCTTCTTTCTCCCAAACAGCATTGATCCTGGAACACATCTGGCCCCAGGGTCTGGATCGGGGGTGGTGGGCCTGAAGTACCAAAGGGCCGCCGTCAAGGGAGGTGGAGGGGCCTCCCTCCCTCCCGGCCCTGCCAGCTTGGAGCCACCTGCCTCACCCCCAGGCTGTGTGTCCTTCCCGGTCCCGGCTGCCGTGTCTTCAGCCTGAGGCTCGTGGTTGAGCAGCACTTTGCAGCCACCCACCTCGTCTCCTGCCAGCGTGTCCTCTTCCCAGCTCTATAACCCGAGCGTGCCATCCTGCCTCCCTGAGGCTGCCTGTGCTTGGCAGCCCCCATCGGGGCCCCCAAGTGGCGCTGACGAGAGGCCCAGGGAGCTTGACCCATGCGAGGCCAGGTCCCAGCTTTGCCCTCCCACCAGCTGTGTGACCTTGGGCACGTCGACCTATTTGAACCTCAGTTGTCTCCTCTGAAAAGTGGGTAGGGTGCGGCCTCCTAGGGCCATTGAGAAGATTCCATGAGCCAGTGCAGGAACAGGGTTCAGAAGAGGGTAGGACCAAGAACCCACCCCCTCTGGGGAGTTCGCTGTCATGATCCGGGTCTGGTCGCTGTGGTCACTCCGTGTGAGGGTGGCCACTGTCACTCGGGTGCTCACGTCTGCCTCCCCCTGCCCCACGCCCCCGCCAGCTGGCCTATGGGCAGGATGGGCAGCTGAAGGGCTTCGCTGTGCTGGAGTACGAGACGGCAGAGATGGCTGAAGAGGCGCAGCAGCGGGCGGACGGCCTGGCGCTGGGGGGCAGCCACCTGCGAGTCTCCTTCTGTGCCCCGGGGCCCCCTGGCCGCAGCATGCTGGCTGCGCTCATCGCCGCCCAGGCCACGGTGAGTGTGTGCCTGGGACGGGTGCCCCCGGGGGCGGGGGGGGACCGGGGGGCGAGCCCTCCTCTCTGGGAAAGTCAGGGTGCCAGCTGGGCTCTGGGGGTGAGAGGGAGGGGTGAGCCGGCCTCCCCATGGCCGGGTGGCGCCCTGAGCCGCTCTTCTGTTTCTCTCTGCAGGCCCTCAACCGGGGCAAAGGGCTCCTGCCCGAGCCCAACATCCTGCAGCTGCTCAACAACCTGGGGCCCTCCGCCTCCCTCCAGCTGCTGCTGAACCCCCTGCTCCATGGCAACGCGGGGGGCAAGCAGGGTAAGGTGGGGCCGGGCAGAGTGGCGGCCGCGGTCCCCATTGCGCTCAGAACCCCAGCCTCCCCAGACCGTTTTCCCATCTGAGCTATAAGGGACTTGAACCCACAAGCAGGGGCTGGGGTGAGTGGCAGTGACCAGGGTGAGCTGGTGTCCTGAGCCCCTCACTGGGGCAAGTGAGGCAGGGTGGTGGGAAGGGGCCGGCCCTCCCCACAGCAGACTCCCTTTCCTGGGCCCCTTTTTTGGGCACGTCAGTTGCTTTCTGGGAGCTTCGGGCCCCGGGTTGCACCTAACCGGGGCAAAGGCTTCCGTCTGTGGTCCGCTCTTCACTTCCCGGTCTCCCCCAGGCCTGTTGGGCGCACCTCCAGCCGTGCCGCTCCTCAGCGGGCCGGCCCTGTCCACGGCACTGCTGCAGCTCGCCCTGAAGACCCAGGGTCAGAAGGTAAGTGCGTGCCCGGCCCGGGGCCCCTGGGACCTCCTCGTCCGCACGGACTCCCCAGCCCTTGTTTCTCCACCTCACGCCCTTCTCGCATCTGCCGGGGGGCTTGCCGTCGCCGGGGTGATGGGACATCTGGTCGTGTCTGTGGGGCTCAGTACGTGGTCTGGTCTGTCGCAGGCGCTTGGGACTCAGGAAGGGACTCAGTCTAGGGAGGGAAGTCCAGGCCTCGCGGGGGAGGAGTGCGGTCTCTCGCTCCCACCTCCTCAGCGCGCATACAGGGAGACCCGTACAGACCAAGGCACACACAGATAGGTATACCGCGCATAGAAATACATACGCCACGTCACCACTCTCTCGGTGCACGTACGCGGAGACCCGTACGTGGGAGGCATGCGCACACGCCTGCAAGCAGACCCGCCGCACACGGACACACGTGTCACTGACCTGTCTGTCAGGGCCACGTCAGTGACACGGGTGTGTCTGACAGTAACTGACGGGATTAGGGAATTAGGGGCTCACCCTTGCGTGGCTGGTACACACACTGTGTTGGACACTGTGCTTCCGTAATAATCAGGGGGGCTGGGTGTGGGCAGTGTGCCTAGGAAGGACTGTCCTGTGTGGGGTGACAGGCCCTGACATGTTGAGCATATGGTGCACGCCCCCTGGGGCTCCCCGGGGTCTCAGATGGGCCCTGGCAGACAGGAGGCCCTCCGTCCCCATGGGACAGCTGGATGGGTGATGGCTGAGATGTCGCAGACACTGGGGGACGCTGTGCGCGTCTGCCCGTGACCGGCCATGGCCTGCACTCTGGGTGTGCTGGGTGTTGTGACTGTTGAGACCCTGGGTGCCACCTGTCTGCTGCCCGGGCCACCCTGGCCCATCTCCAGCTGATTGTGCTCTGTCTCCAGAAGCCTGGGATCCTGGGAGACTCTCCCCTGGGCACCCTTCAGCCTGGGGCCCAGCCGGCCAACCCCCTCCTCGGAGAGCTGTCTGCAGGTAACACAGACCCCCGCCTCTCCTCATCTTTCTGGGCCCCTTCTCACTTTCTCTTCCTGAGGCCCCTGTCCTCACTGGGCCTGGGAAAATGACCTACTGTCTCTGGGTCTCAATAGTCCCATCCGTCCGTTGGGCCCCCACCTCCCAGGGTGGCCGTGAGCATCCTGGGAGTTGATGTACTCAGAGGGGTCTGTTCATTGCCCAGTACCTGCTGATCCTTGTCCAAGCTCAGGGCCCCGGGAAGACAGGTCTAGTGTGGTTGGACACCAACACCTCCTTCTCTCTGTAGGGGGGGCCCTGCCCCCGGAGCTGCCACCCCGGCGAGGGAAGCCACCACCTCTGCTGCCGCCACTGCTTGGCCCCTCTGGGGGTGACCGGGAAGCCATAGGCCTGGGTCCCCCAGCAGCCCAGCTCACTCCACCCCCTGCCCCGGTGGGCCTCCGAGGCACTGGCCTTAGAAGCCTCCAGAAAGACAGTGGGCCTCTGCCACCGCCCCCCGGGGTAAGGCTCCTCCCCACATCCAGTACCATTCCAGCCTCCCCCCCACCCCCCCGCAAGGTGCCACCTGCCAGGGGCCCTCACGAACCCAGCCCTCCTGCTACAGGTCTCGCTGCTGGGGGAACCCCCAAAGGACT